TAGTCATAGTAAAAATAGTTGTAATAGCCACCATCAGTTGAGCAAGTACAATATACTGGTCTTAAGCACTTGGCATTTAATCCTCCTTCAACCCTCATCTATTAGGTAGGAAACATTGTTGATCCCATTTTACATATGAGAATGAGACAGGCTGGGACCTGGGACCTTTACTGCAGTGCCTGCACCTAAACAAATGCCTCCTCCAGCAACATAATACAAAGAAACTGTAAGGGGCTAAAAGTAACCCTCACGCATGTGCAGCTGGGGCAACTTATGAACAATGAGATACAAAACGGCCAAAACTCAACTGCCATTTCTGAGGTGTAGGGAGCAAAAGCGGGTTACCGGGCCTGATCCCTGCACAGTACACCACCAAGAGGGTGGGCAGACCACCAAAACTACCCCTTCACCTGATCTACTGATCCGTTCCTACCCTCATCCCATTTAAGGGACCAGCGCCTCACCAGCCCCATAGGGGAGGGAGCAAGCAAAGGAACCTGTTACTTGCAGCAGGAGTCCCAGTAAAGGCTTCCCTGAATTCCTCCACTGGCATTTTAATCAATTCCTGTTGCATAAAGAGGGGTGTCCCAGGTGGCACAGTGGTAAAGAATCCACCTGCCAGTACAGCAGACACAAGAGATGTGGGGTTGATCCCTGGGTTGGAAAGATCCCCTGGAGAAGGAAATGGCAACCCACTCCAGTATTCTTGCCTGGAGGATCTCATTCATGGACAGAGGAGTCTGGCGGGCTACAGTCCATGGGGTCCCAAAGAGTACACACACTTGGATAAAAAGTCCAGGGACCTAGGTGGGTATCAAAACCCCTGAGGTCCAGAAAGAGAAGAAAGAAAGAATGGCTCAGTCCTGTCTGATTCTTTGCGACCCCATGGACTGTAGCCCACCAGGCTCCTCTGTCCATGGGATTCTCCAGGCAAGAATACTGGAGTGGGTTGCCATTTCCTTCTCCAAGAGAGGCTGAGCACACGTGCCCCAGGGGCCGTTCCTGGCTCTGATCTGTCCCCGTGGGCTCCAAGGAGAGCCGCGCCAACAGCCCCCGTCTCTTCCCTCCCTCCCAGGTACACCTCCCGGTCGCGCTGCTACTCGGAGACGCCGTCGTCCTTCCTGCGCTGGCTGAGCCAGCAGACGCGCTGGTCCAAGTCGTACTTCCGCGAGTGGCTGTACAACGCGCTCTGGTGGCACCGGCACCACGCGTGGATGACCTACGAGGCGGTGGTCTCGGGGCTCTTCCCCTTCTTCGTGGCGGCCACGGTGCTGCGGCTCTTCTACGCGGGCCGCCCCTGGGCGCTGCTCTGGGTGCTGCTGTGCGTGCAGGGCGTGGCGCTGGCCAAGGCGGCCTTCGCGGCCTGGCTGCGGGGCTGCCTGCGGATGCTGCTGCTCTCGCTCTACGCGCCGCTCTACATGGGCGGCCTCCTGCCGGCCAAGTTCCTGGCGCTGGCCACCATGAACCAGAGCGGCTGGGGCACGTCGGGCCGCCGCAAGCTGGCCGCCAACTACGTTCCCGTGCTGCCCCTGGCCCTCTGGGCACTGCTGCTGCTCGGGGGCCTGGTCCGCAGCGTGGTCCACGAGGCCCGGGCCGACTGGAGCGGGCCCTCCCGGGCGGCCGAGGCCCGGCACCTGGCCGCGGGCGCCGGTGCTTACGTGGGCTACTGGGCCGTCATGCTGACCCTCTACTGGGTGGGCGTGCGGAGGCTCTGCCGGCGGCGGGCGGGGGGCTACCGCGTCCAGGTGTGAGGCTGGGTGCACCGGACGCTGGCTCCGGGGGCGGCCAGAGGGGACTTAGCGGGGTTCCCGGAGCCACATACTTGCTGGTGACCCCCTGGGCCTCAGTGGCCCTCCTCTGTGAAGTGAGGGGCTCGACCCAAGACTTCTCAGCCTGGACTCTTTTCGGGGGGCGGGCTGGGATTCCTGGGTCTCTTGGGAGGGGTATTTATTGATCAGGGTGTGGACTTTTAGGGGCAGGGCGAAAAGGGTCCCCACAGGCTGTCCTGGGGCCCCTGATTTCTCTGTTCTTATTTAACCTTATTTGTACTGTGTATTAGAATATAATAAAGAATTTTATTTATTTTCTTCTCAGCCTACTCTCCATTTTTTTTTTTTTTTCTTTCCCAGAACTAAGCAGGGGGTGGGGGGGCACTGCATGATTGAGAACTGAGGGCTCCTGGCTGGGTCTTGGGGCTTCCCAGGTGGCACAGTGATAAAGAAATCTGCCTGTCAATGAAGGGGGACTCAGGAGACAGGTTCGATCCCTGGGTTTGGAAAGTCCCTTGCAGAAGGAAAGGGCAACCTGCTCCAGTATTCTTGCCTGGAAAATTCCATGGACAGAGGAACCTGTTTGAAACTAGACAGAATACCCTCTTTCCTTTTAGCCTGGATGCCCTCTTTGGAAAACAGGGATAGGAATGCCGTGGGATGGGGTTGTTTTGGTTTTTTTTTTTTTTTTTTGGCTGCATTGGGTCTTAGTTGTGGCACTCAGGATCTTCGCTGCATCATGCAGGATCTTTCTTTCATTGCAGTGGATGGGCTCCAGAGCATGTGGGCTTGGTTTCTGCAGCTTACAGGCCTAGTTGCTCCTAGGCATGTGGGATCTTAGTTCCCTGACCAAGGATCGAACCTGTATTCCCTGCACTGTAAGGCAGATTCTTAACCACTGGACCACCAAGGAAGTCCCAGGATGGGGTTGTTTTTGAAGGTGGAATTTCTCAACTCCTCATTCAGGTACTATTGAGCACCTACTATGTGCTGGACACTGTCATTTCACTTCAGTCATTCTTTGATTCAGTTAGTCAACCACAAAACAAACATTTACCAAGTTCCTATTCAATTCAACACACATTGTCAGGTTTGCAAATACAGAAGCTATTAAGAGTCTGAGTCTGCTTTCCAGAAACTCCTATTCCATTAAGCAAAGACAGTGTTATCCTTAGTTAAGTGTTCTCAGGAACATAATCCATTAGTCCTTGGTAGCACAGATGGTAAAGAATCTGCCTGCAGTGCAGGAGACCTGAATTTGATCCCCGAGTCGGGAGGATCCCCTGGAAAAGGGAATGGCAACCCACTCCAGTATTCTTGTCCGGAGAATTCCATGGACAGACCACGGGGTCCCAAAGAGTGGAACACAACTGAGCAACTAACAGGCACATAATAGTCTGTATCTCTTAATCCCCTGTGCCTTGAGGGTGCAGATTTTTCTTTTCTGATTTCTTCATTGTTGTGTTTACAGTGCCTTGAAAATGCCTGACACATAATAAACGCTGTTTATTTTCCGATTGAATATTTTCTGATTGAAATTATTCAGAATATTCAAAATATTCAGAATATTTTCTGATTGAAATGAATCAGTGAAAGGGAACATACTGGTGAAGAACACTATGAGGGAGCTTACCTTTTAGGTGGGGAAGCCACAAAACCAAATTAAAAAATAAGTTTACATCAGGTCTGAGTGAATGCTGTGTGCAAGCTAAAATAGGGGGATGTCTAGATTTTCCAGGCTACCCAGTGGTTAGGACGCCAAGCTTTCACTGCCAAGGGCCCAGGTTCAATCCCTGGTCAGGGAAATAAGATCCCACAAGCCAGTCACACAAAAAATTTAAAAAAAATGGGGGGTATCATGTGGGAGGAGGGGAGTAATGAGAGGTGTCATCTGAGCTGAGACCTGTGAAGTGAGAGGGAGGTGGCTTCATGAGGATCAGAGTAATCTCATTTCAAGTAGGAAGGCCCAAATGCAAAGGCCCAGGGGCAGGACTGAGCTTTGTATGTTCCAGTGACCTGCAAAGAAGGCCAGTGGGTTAGAGAGTAAAGAGGAGGGTAATAGAGAAGGGAAGTCAGACACACCAACATAGTGCCTGCCCACAGAGTTGTCCTGAGGATCAAATAGGTTAATGAACATAAAGGCTGTTCAGGGGAAATCATAACTGAGTTAACTAGACAAAAAGGAGAAGAAACATTATTCTAGGAAGAAAATAGTATGTACCCTAGATCCTGGATAGAACAAGAATAATGGTGAATAGAGGGGGTGCTTTGGAGACCTTGAGGGGAGGTGGATTTTGGCCCAGTGGCAATCGTAAGCCACTGAAGGGTTCTGAACAGAGGAGTGACCTGACCTGACAAACTTTAGAATATCACTCTGAAGATTGGAACTGACATATATACACTACTATATATAAAAGAGATAACTCATAAGAACCTGCTGTACAGCACAGGGAACTCTATGCAATACTCTGTAATGACATATATGGGGAAAGAACCTAAAACAGAGTGGATATGTGTATATGTATAACTGATTCACTTCGCTGGGCAGCAGAAACTAACCAACACCGTAAATCAATTATACTCTAATAAAAATTAATTTAAAAAATTAAAACCTTAGTCAAAGTCGCCAAAAAACAAAACAAGAACACTCTGGCTGCTTTGTGGAGAATGGATTGCACTGGGACAAGGCTGAGCCCACTCTCAGCCAGGGAGACCAGTGTGAATACTGCTGCGGAGACCCAGGCGAGAGATGGTGGTGGACCACAGAGAGGGAGCAACTCCATGAGATATTTAGGAATGATATATGAAAAGGCTGAGACTTGGAAATAGGTGGGACATGGAGGAGAAATTAAATACAACTTAGGTTTCCAGTCGAGCAGCTGGGTGGATGGTGACGCCCTTGACGACAGCAAGAAAGTTTTGAGGGAGGAACAGACTTTTGGGGCGACATGAAGGTCTTTATTTGAGGGTGACTGATGCAGGCGTAAACGTCCAGGACACTGCCGGAAATCTGGGGAGGGGCCTGGGCGTGCACCTAAAGCCCTCAGCACAGGGCCCCGCGCTGCACAGCTGTGCCTCTCACCATCATTATGGGCGCATGTGCACCTGGGCATATGCCGCCCTTCCCCCTAAGTGGTGTGCAGCGATCACTTGCAACGATGAAATAATCTAGAGAGCCAAAATAGACTCTTTATTTTAAGGATGAAAATAGGATAAGAAGAGATACCTTTGTTAGTTGCCGCTGCAGTACCATCGAAAAAACATCCTGGGGAAACAAACAGATGTTAGTATGTGGAGGGGGAAGAGGTTGGGGACCAGAAATTTGGGTCCTGGAGCCTAGGTTCCAAAGGGGGGTGATAGGGCTTGGACTCTTGGCTCTGAGAAACCAGGGGCGAGGGGTTATGACTCCTGAGTAAGAGGAGGCTGGAGACTCGGAGTTCCGGATCTGAGGGAGGAGGGGCTGAGAAACCCAAACTTCCCAGTCTGAATAAGGAGAGAGCCGGAGGCTGGGACTCCGGGGTCCCGGGGACTCACCACGCCAGCACGGTCACACTGGCTGATGCTAAGGCCACAAGGGCCGCGAGCAGGCACTGATTGCCCGGCGTCAGAGCCCCGGGTGTGGCCAGCAGCTCGCCCAGGCTGGGCCTCCAGGGTTCGATCGTCTCCGCCTCCTGCGGCACCCACCGCAACACTTCCCGAAAAGAGACCTGGAGCTCGGTCTCCCCGCGCGGGGGCGGGCCCGTCACTGCGGGGACGCGCACGTCAGCCGGGCGCCAGCCCGCCCCCGCCGCGCGGCCCCGCCCCCGCTCCCGCCGCGCGGCCCCGCCCGGCCCACACCGTTAAGAAAGAAGTAGAGCCGCGCTAGGGGGCGCTGATCGTGCGTGATCACGCAAGAGAAGGTCCCGCGGTGCGTGGGCTGCACCGGCCGGATCCGCGCCAGGTAACCTTGGGCCCGCGGAATATCTCGGAAGTAGGTCGGGTCCTGAGTCCGGAGCTGCGGGACGCCCGGGCTGAAGCGGCGAGAGACCGAGGGCGGCCGGCCCCACCCCGAGCGCAAAAGAGATTCTCTCCTCCCCGACTCGCCAAACCGCTACGTGAAGCCCCGCCCTGAGCCAGGCCATGCCCCCGAGCCCCAGCCTCACCTTCTTATTCGCCGAGCGTTCACGCACGGCCCCGCCCCCTAGGCCTTGACTCCGCCTCGTGGGCCTAGTGTTTGCTCTCCCGCCTGAACCCCTACGGATAACGCTCCCCTGGGCTCCGTCACTGCATTGGGGGCTTTGACCCTTACCGCAAAATGCCGGGACCCTCCCCTTGCACGAAGCATGAGTCTAGTCCGAGCCTCCTCGAATCCCACTCCCTGCCTCCTGACTCTCCATCCTCTAGTGAAGCATAAACCGCCTCCTAAAGCCCTTCACCCTGGTCCCGCCCCGACTCACACCTCCTGCGAACTTCCAGGAATAGGTGATCTCTTCCTTAGGCAGCTGGAAGTTCACAGTGCAAGAGAACATGGCCTGACGACCCCGAGTCACCGTCAGGTCCTGAACTGAAGACAGGTCTCGCGTCGCCACCTCGGCCCGCCGACGTCCGAACCCCCAACCCCAGCGCCTTCCTCGCTCAGCCCTCTCTTCCAGTTTTTCAGGTTTCTCACCCTTCAAGGCCACGCCCCTCACCTGGGCAGTCAAGCGGGAGATCGCAGACCTTGGAGTAGCATCCGCGGCAGCGGAAGCGCCGGGTGACCTCCTGGAGCCCTATGGGGTGGGAACGCTGGGTCCGGGGTCCATCTGCCTCCCCTAGCCAGGGTCCCTTCGGCCACCATCAGTTCAGTTTAGTCGCTCAGTCGTGTCCGACTCTTTGCGACCCCATGAATCGCAGCACGCCAGGCCTCCCTGTCCATCACCAACTCCCGGAGTTTACTCAAACTCATGCCCATCGAGTCGGTGATGCCATCCAGCCATCTCATCCTCTGTCGCCCCCTTCTTCTCCTGTCCCCAATCCCTCCCAGCATCAGGGCCTATTCCAATGAGTCAACTCTTCGCATGAGGTGACCCAAGTACTGGAGTTTCAGCTTCAGCATTAGTCCTTCCAATGAACACCCAGGACTGATCTCCTTTAGGATGGACTGGTTGGATCTCCTTGCAGTCCAAGGGACTCTCAAGAGTCTTCTCCAACACCACAGTTCAAAAGACCATAAGGTCTATTTAACTTCCCCGGGTTCTACCTGCCGGACAGAATCTGGACCCCGCCTTTCCCGCGCTCATTGGCTGGCTCTCACCACTCTCCAGCCTCTAGGATCCCTATTGGTTTGCCTTGGGGTTTTTTTTCGGACCCGCCTTTCCTGAGGTTTGTGAACAATGCCTGGTTTACTTACTCCTCTTCTGGGCTCGCTTTGGCCCCTTCGGATCAGAGGCCACCCAAGAGTCCCAGGTTTTGGCCCTTACCACCTCCCTCCCCCCCCACCCCCCCCCCCCGCAATTCTGAGCTTTGAATGACGTGCTTACCGCAGGGAGGAATGCAGGCCTGCACTGTGGAGAGAGAAGAAGCGTTACCACCCTGTAAGTCGCGGCAGGTGCTCACCTGAAATTCCCCTAGAGGAAACGTTTCGGGGCCGGATGCATTCATTCCTCCAAGGGATCAGAGCCAGGTATGCCGCGCTCCACCAAAGGGGCGGGCCAAGCCTGCAACTTCTCACCTGTAGGCGGGGCCAGGCCTGCGGTACTTCACCTGGGGACCCTGCCAGCCCTGCAACATTCCACTAAGATGTCAGGCACAAGCCTGCTGCTCCCACCCAGAAGGCAGGTCCAGCCCCGGTGTATTCCATCCAGCGGGACGGGCCTAGATCCTGGGTGATCATCGGAGCGGACAGAGCCTAATTAGGGGGCCCAGTGAGAGGTGTGGTCAGGCTGGACGTTGCCCACTAAGACGCCCGAGATGAAAGGAATCTTGTCACAGAGTGCCCAGAGTCAGACACAGATCCATGAAGAGGCCCGGGCTAGTCTGGGACAGGACTGTCCTACTAAGCGGTCCCAACTACAGGTAACCTTGCATCAGAGGCGGAGCCGAACCCAGAGTAGTCCTAGCAGGATAAGAGGCTGTGCCGAGAGACCCACAAGGGAAGCTCGGCTCGGAAATCGGGCCCGGGGGTTGGCTTGATGGGAGTGGATGGGGTCTCCGGAGTGGGGTTTTCTAATTGTGCCTGGCTATTTTACCTTCCTTAAGCTGTAATATAATCTTCCGCATTCTCTCCGCGGCATGAAGAAAGGCAACCCGAAAGGACCCTGGAGGGTGGAGGGAGTCATTGTAGTAAAGACCCTTCCCCAAGGCTGCCGGAGCTCGACAGGCCTGGCTGTCATCATGTCTGTGCCCCTCCCCCAGCCCCTGCTATCTCCAGGACTCTGATAAATGCCACATCCTCCTACTCTATCTATCTGGATGGTGGGCACACCCCCAAATCTCCTTCAGCTGCCTCGGACTAATCACTCTGACAGAACTCCTCTGCATCTGTGTTCTCTTGTTAAGGAGAAAAGGGAGGATAAAGGTCAAATTTCTCCCATGGCCTATGAGACCCTGTGTGGTCTGGCCTAGTCTCGTCTTCCTCTCTGTGTGCTAAGTTGCTTCAGTATTGTCCAACTCTTTGCAATCCCGTGGACTGTAGCCCACCAGGTTCCTCTGTCCATGGAGATTCTCCAGGCAAGTATACTGGAGTGGGTTGCCATGTCCTCCTCCAGGGGATCTTCCTGACTCAGGTATGGAACCGGCAACTCTTAAGTCTCCTGCAATTCATTTCCCCTGATAAGGAAAGCATCATGTTCTCTACCACCTCAGGGCCTTTGCACATGCTGTCTTCAGTTTGCAGCACACCTCTCCCCCTACTCCTACTCATCCTTCCTGTCATACCTCATGTCACCTCCTTAGAGGTTTTCCCTGACCACAAATCTAATTTAATCCAGTCCCCTATTTTTGTCTCTAACAATACCCCATCTGTTCCATTCATAGCTCTCACCAGTTTGCAAATACATATATTCACATATACATAGTGAGCATTTAAGACTGTCTCTTAAGTAAGCAAACAAGTCCTTCTTTAGTGCTGTGTCCTTAGAAACCAGGAAAGGGCCCCGAGTCTTAGGAATAAGTATGTGTAGAATGAATTCCAGGATTCAACTGGAATGAGTACCACAGCTGGAAGCCTGGGGCCACAATTCATCCGCTGGATGTGTTATATTTGGCCTGGAAAGTGTTTTTAAAAAATGACCCAGTTGCTGTCATATAAAGTTTGGGAAAAGTCACATAAAATGTTTGGCATCCCTTTACGAAATCTGGAAGAGCTGTAACAGAGGCAGTATTTCCATGAGGCAGCAGTTGGCTGGAGCTTAGCAGCAGCCACCCACTTTAGACAGGGCACACACCCACTTTTCCAGAGTTCCCAGTCTCTTCATTTCTACCCCTCTTTCACTTTTTTGGAGAATGCAATGGCACCCCACTCTAGCACTCTTGCCTGGAAAATCCCACGGATGGAGGAGCCTGGTAGGCTGCGGTCCATAGGGTCTCTAAGAGTCAGACACGACTGAGTGACTGACCTCACTTTCACTTTTCATTTTCATGCATTGGAGAAGGAAATGGCAACCCACTCCAGTGGTCTTGCTTGGAGAATCCCAGGGATGGGGGAGCTTGGTGGGCTGATGTCTATGGGGTCGCACAGAGTCGGACATGACTAAAGTGACTTGGCAGCAGTTCACTCTTTTTATGTTCTCTGCTCTTATGGATGTTTGAGTTTTCACCACTGTAATGGCCTTAAAAAAAAAAAAGTTTGGGGACTTTCTCAAAGTGGATGGCTGCAATGATTTACAGGTGGAGGTGGTTTTGGAAGTCAGAAATGTGGCAGGATTTTGTTGTTGTTATTTAGTTGCTAAGTCAGGTCGGACTCTGTGACCCCGTGCACTGTAGTCTGCTGTGCTCCTCTGTCCATGGGATTTCCCAGGCAAGAATACTGGAATGGGTTGCCATTTCCTTCTCCAGGGGATCTTCCCCACCCAGGGATAGAAAATGCATTTCCTGCACTGCAGGCAGATTCTTAACCGCTGAGCCACCAGTACTCATGTGGCGGGGTCCTATGGGCTGAATTTCATCTCTTCCAAATTCATACAGTAAAGTCCTAAGCCCTAGTCCTTCAGAATGCAACTGTATTAGGAGATGGAGTCTTAAGGAGGTAATGCCATTAAAATGAGGTTTTTTTGGGTGGGCCTTAACCCAACATGACTGATTTCTTTGGAAGAGAAGGAAATCTGGACACAGACACAGAGAGAAGACAGTCATTCTGCAAGCCAAGGAGAGAGGCCTCAGAAGAAACCCACCCTGCTGACACTGACACTTTTATCCTGGACTTCTAGCCTCCAAAACTGTGAGCAAATAAACTTCTTTTAGTTAAGCCACCCAGTCTCTGTTTTTTTTTTGTTACAGCAGCCCTAGCAAACTAATACATAGGGATTGCCAGTTGCCTCAAAATACCTATTTTCTCCTTAATAACATATCACCACATTTCAGCAGAGAAAGCACCCCCACCTTGCCCCAGCTAAAAGACTACATTTCCCAACCTCCACTGCAGCTTGCTGTGGTCATGTGTCCAAGTTCTGATGGTTGAGACATAAGTTTAAGTGTGATGTATGAGTCACAGAAAGTAGCCTTAAAAGAGATATGGTGTCATTTTATTGGCCCCTTTCCCCTTCTTTCATCCTGTTGCCTGAAACTTGGATTTGATGGCTGCTGCTCTGGCAGTTATATAGGACCATGAGGATAAGCAGTATGCCCTAGGATGGTAAGGCAGAAAGCTGGAAGAGTACTGAGTCCCCAGGAAAATGGAGCTGCCATACTAGTCTTAAGTGCCTACCTCAAGACTTATTTTATATGGACAAAATAAACTTCTACCTGCTTAAGACATTGCATGTTTTAACCTTAGGTTAAACCATAAATAAAGGGAGGGAATTGAGGATTCTGATAAGAATCAGCTGAAGTAATGATCATAGAAGTGATGGTAGAAGCTGGAGAGAGGGGGGCTCTGAAGCCAGGAAGCAGGTGCACAATGAGGGATCAAGGACTTAGCAGTCTCTCCTTGGCCACACGGCAGGCAGGAGCTGTGGTCTGGTGATGGCAGGATGGTCAGGAGGATGTGGTCCTAGTAGCAGTGCTCAAATGAGAGGCCGAGATGATGTTGGGGAAGGCAGCCAAGGGATATCTATGGGCTAAACCAAATGACTCTCGGGGGAGGGTATGTGGGATATACCAAGTCAGCCATGGGGCAGGGGAGAAGCATGGGAGTCAAGTAGGGATGGAGCGAAATGTCCAAAGGGGCAAGAGGCAGGTTTGTGTTAACCACAAAGGGGCACGAGTTATAAAGTCTCCCCCAAAGAGGTGCTTCATTGGGAGCCTCAACTTGCTGATCACCTGAGTTTGAGTCCTGTCTCTTCCAACTATGCGCACACCTGTCTCACTTCTGTGCTACCCATCACACGCACTCCTCCCTGTGTGACCTTGACCGGGTATTTAACCTGCCTGATCCTTGGTTTCCTCATTCATAAAATGGGGACAACATCGGTGTCTACTTCACAGCATTGGTGGTGAGGATTTCATGTCATACAATATAAAAGCCTCCCCCTCCCAGGTACCATTTAATGACCATGATGGGATAATGTCTGTGTTATAGAAGAGTCAACTACTGGCATTACTGTCGTCTAATCTGAGACGGGGAAACCCAAGCACACAGAGGTTAGGAAATTGGCCCAAGGTCACACAGCTGGATTGGAACCCATGTGGTCAAACTCCAGAGCCTCCATGGGTGGCCACTATCTGCAGTACACACACTGCCCTCAACATCACTCTAACAGTGTCAGCGGCCACCACCAGGAGCCACTCTGAGTCCACCTGTCCACCTCTCCATTCGGGAGAGACCCAGGAGTCATCCTGATTCTTCCCATCCTCATCACCCTACATACATCTGGTCCAGACATCCCCTGGGTCCATCCAGGGGAGCCCCAACTTCCCCATCTGGAAAATGGGGCTATAAAACTCCACCTCACAGGGCTGGTACAAGGACATACTTTGGGAGGATTATTAACATAAATCACTTTCTGCAGTCACAGCATCTTCCATGCAAGGGGCTGGTTCATTTCAGCCCCCACCAACCATCACAACAGGTTCAAGTCACCATTGACTGTCTCCTCCCTGGACTTTCTGCTTCTGCCCTTGACCCACACGACCTTAGTCAGAACCCTTCCTTCCTTAAAAATTCTCCAAAGGGTTTCCCCACATCAAGAGCAAGAGCTGAAGTGATTATTTGGTATGAGCTGGAAAGGGGGTCCTCTGGCTGAAGTTGGCTCGAGGACGCACCCTAGCATTTCCCCAAGTGTGTTCCCAGAACAGCAGCAGCAGCACCTGGGAACTTGTTAGACATGTCCGTTTCTGGGCCCTACCTCAGACCTAAGGGTCAGAGACAGAGGGTGGGGCCCAGGAGCCTACATTTTAATAAGGTTCCAGGAGATTCTGACATACACTGTGGGGTTGGAGAACCATTAGCCTACATGGTCCACTCCAGCCCCACTGGCCCCAGGGCCTTTGCACTGGCTCTTCCCACCACCTGGAAGCTCTCTCCCCAGGTCACCTGCATAGCTCTCTCTGTTCCCCTCATTCTAGTCTTTGCACAACTGGATCTTTTTCATTTGCACCTCCCCTGATCAACCTGTTTAGTAAAACAATCACCCCACTGGTCACCCCCGCTTTTCCTCCCCCTTTTGTTTCCCTCCATAGCATGGATCACCAGCTGACATCTATGGCATTTCACTGATTACGCTTAATAATCAATGCAAGCAACCTGAGGGCAGGTGGCTTGCAGTTTGGGTCACAGCTGTGTCCCTGGTGGTGCTCTTGGCACAGTCAATAAATACCCATGGAACGTAAAGCCCCAGCTTCTCCCGGTCCCCAGACTCTCCCTCCAGTCCATCCTCCACATGGCCTCTGAGGGTCTTTCTACACCCTGAGCTGACCCTGCCCTTCCCTGGCTCACAGCCTTGTTCCTTCGGGACAGTCTCAAATCTCCCTGACTCCCAGTTGGACCCTGGATGTCCCCCAGGCCCCTTGCAGTCACTACATCCTCACCCAGCTGCCCATCTACCCCCACTCCTGCTCTTCCTCCCGGACTCCCTCATCCCAGAGATGACCACTGCCCCCTCAGGCACGGAGCCAGCCCTGGCACGGTCCCGAACCCCTCTCCCTGAACGGCTGACCAGACCCAGGCCTGGTCCTCTCTTCACCTGCACAGATTCCCCGCCGCAGGTCTGGCCTCCTTCACCACAGCCTCCACCCCGGGCCTTCCAGCCTCCACTCCCTCCCCTGCTCCAGTTGGTCCCACACGCTGCCCTCGGGGGTCTTCTGCACCCAGAACAGGACTTGTTTCTGCTCTTTTCGAAAACTTCTGATGTAGGGGAGAAGGGCATCTCCCAGAATTCTCCCAGCACCCCACCCCCTCCAGCTCCGAGTTCCTCAGCTCTCCCTTTGTGGGTGGGGGAATCTGCAGCTGAAGTCTTCTCCACGCTGCACAACTGCCCTGGGAGCCCCCCCGATGGATGGAACCTCCTCATGTTTGGGGATCATGTTCGTCAAAAAGCTCGGAGGCAAGAGTAGGAAGTAAAAGAAGTAACAGAACCGAGATGTAGAAATAAGTGTGCAGCCCCCAGACCACGGACACGGCCATGAATGCTCCCTCACCCATGGTTCCAGTCTCCAGCATGTGGGGCTGGGGGTTGGGGGGAGTCTTCTGTCATGTGACCATGGCAGCCTCGTGTGATCACTGCTCACACTGTGGCCGAGGGCCACCCCAGCCCTGTGGTCCCTTCACACTATCACACGTGTGTTTCTCTTTCCCTCGAGGTTGTCACATGTGTGTGTCTCCCCAATGATCCTCTCCCTCCCTGCTCCCACCTGTCTTCCGGGCCCCCTGGCCCCCTGATAGCCTCCACAGGTCAAAGATGTGGAACCACTTTGCTAACTGTAGGGAATACGTTTTATCCTAAAGGAAGCTCTCCTCCCTGAAGTCTGTCTCCATGCTGGAGCCCCCTCCGTCTCACTGAGTTCCCATGCCTTGCAGGAAGGCAAAGCCCTTGTCCCCTTTCTCAGATGGGTAAGTTGAGGCCCGAAGTTGGGAACGGGGGCAGTGACACGTCCAGAATCTCACAGCCAGGGAGAAGGCAAGCCACACAGGGAGGGCAGGCTTTCACCTCCCCGAGCCTCACTGGCCTCAGACTCTCAAGTTCCTTCTGCTCTGAACCCACCAGGCCTTGCCCATCTCTGCTCCCTGACAAGGTCACCCAGCTCCCTCGGCGTCCTACCATCAAGATCACTGTCACATTCTGGGCTTTCTCCCCCTGGGCCCCCCCCCCCCCCCCCCCCCCGCAAAGGCTCAGACATCCATCTCCCAGCGCTGCAGACCCCGCCCCACTCACCCTGGGCGGCGGCCATCTCCTGTAGGGAGTGGGTCATCTGGGTGAAGGCATCATTCAGCTGGCCCCTCTCCTCGTAGTCTGGCGGTGGGAGGCAGGGGCTGGGGGGAACCACTTCCCCCGGCACCACGGCCCTGAGGTGGTCATCCCTCGGTCTCCGATCTCTGCTCCCCACGCCTCCATTCTCCCATCTCTGCGTCTCTGTCCCTCTCAAGTCTCTCCAGGCCTCTCGGGTCCCTCCCTCCGTGTACCCCCGGGCCCCCCCACACTGGGGAGGATGCTGGGGAGGGGGTGTGGCCTCCTCACTGATCTCCGTGTCCAGCAGCCCCTTAAAGGCATCTGCGAAGGCCTCCTCACACTTCCCGAGGTCGGGGCTGTCCAGGCCGGTGAAGATCTGGCAAATCTGGAGGCGCTCCTCATAAGACGTGAAGCAGAGGAGACAGGCCCAGGCCGAGGCATCGAAGACCGCGAGGGCCGCCAGGGAGGGCAGGATGGCGCTCCAAGGGGCCAGCCAGGCCATGGCAGAGGGTCGCGGCCTGGGGAAGAAGCTGGTGACTTTTGTGAGGTCACTGTGGTGCGGGGGAGGGGCTCAAGATGCAGGGGTCAGAGGTCAGGTCTCAGTCACCAATCCAATGTCTGGCTCCCCCCCCACCGTGGGGGTTTTCAGGGAGCAAGGGGACAGGGGGTTGGGCTGGCAAGCCCCAGGCTGGTGGTTGGGCCGGACGCCAGGCTCCCAAGAACCTCACCTGTGACCCTGGACGTCCTCACAGGTTAAAGGGTCTCAGGGACGCAGAGGCCGGCAGTGCATTGTGGTGGTGGGGGGGCCTGCCAGGCCCTAGGGTTGGGGGGGGGGGTTGCCGGAGAAATGAACATGGCGCAGAGATGCCGTAAGGGCCCGAAAGACGGAAACTGGGCCACAGAGAGACACCGGGAGGTCAGAGATCCAGAAAGCACCATAAGAGACTAATGCAGACAGAGTTTCAGAGGCCACTGCACAGATGCCCAGTGGAGATGGAGAGACAGAGAAAGCCAAGCAGATTTCCGGATGGGAGAGAAACTCCCTGAAGGAAAGGGGAGAAAGGACAGGGACGAAGACAGGAGGGACAGGCCTGCTTCTCTCCTAGGGTCCCTGCGGCAGCGCCCCCCCCCAGCCTGGCCGGGTGGGGCAGGGGACCGGGGTCCAGGGGTCCCCGCCGGGCCGTCCCGTGCAGGGCGCAGCCTGGGGAAAGCTAGGAGGCCGTATAGTGATCTCCGTGGGTGTCCTCCTCAACTATACAACCTCCTACCTCAGCCCGGGGGGCGCGGCAGGTGGACAGACAGACGGATGGACGGACAGACGGGGGCCAGGGAGGGCGGGGAGGGCCGGGGAGGCCCCAGCCGCGATGGTGAGCCCCCGACACGGACCCACAGACACGAGCTTGTGTGCGGCGAAGGCCCCGCAAGGTCGGTTCTACGGGTGGGTGCCAGGACCCAGGAATCCGGGCCCCCGGCCCCCTCCTCCCCAAGGAACCCAGGAGTCAGTCTCTCGGCCCCTTCCTCCCCGAAGATCCCCGAAATCCAGGCCCCCTAGCCCCCACTGCTCCCTGAGATTCAAAATACAAGTCCTCAAGCCCCTCTTCTCCCTAGGGTTCCCAGGAGGCCAGGCCCCCGGCCCCTCCCTCAGACCCGGGAATCCAGCCAGGCCTGTCTCCTTTGGAGAAGACGCAGCCCGGCTTCCTGGATCCCGGGTCCGAGGGAACCTCACCAGTTTCAGAGTTTGGCCACTTGGGCCAGCTCCCTCCCTCGCTACCTGTCAGATAATCGGAAATTTCAGGAGCGGGGCGGAGGCCGCCCAGGGGCTATAAACCGGTGTGAAAGCCTGTCTAGGTATCTGCTCCTCTCTCTTCCCTGCTTTTGGCCTCTCATCAAGTACCACACTGACAGCTGGGATGCCTGTGCGCGGATGCCGCCCCAGGCCTGTGTCATCTCTCCGGCGGGGCGCGAGGTGCCATCGGCACCCCCACTTCGCAGGTGGGAAGGCTGAGCCCCAGCCAGCCGTAGGGTGGGGTGGCGGGGTGGGGGGGTGGGAGTGGGAGGGGCCAGGCCTTCCAGGCAAGAGGGCCCAGCGCCCGCCCTCCCCAGCCCGGGGCTGAGACAGTGCACCTGAGAACCTCCACCTCGGTCCAGGGCTCCGGCGGTCTCGCTCCCGCCGTCTCCCGCTCCAGCTCCATCTTCCCGGTCCTCTCTCCCGGTCCGGCCCGCTCGCCCTCGGCCTCACCTGGCCCCCGTCTCCTGCAGTCTCCGTGTGCTCCTCCCCGGCTCTGCGCTGCCCATCCGCGCCTCCCCCCGCGCGCGGCCGTCCCCGGCTCGCAGGGGCCTTTCTCGGGCCGTGTCTCTCCGCCCTCCCCCGCCTCGCGCTCTCTCCTCTCCTCCTTTCTGCTTCTTTCCCTTTCCCTCCGGTCTTGCCCCCTCCCCTGCTCCGCACCCCTCCCTCTGTCTTTGTCCCTCTTCTCTCGTCTCTCCCTCGATTTCCCCGTCTCACTCTCCTCTCCACCCCCCGCTTTTCCCCCCTGCCTGCCTCCCTCCCCCGTTTCTCCATCTCCCGGCCTCTTTCTCCCCCTCCGTCTCCCTCCTAGCCTCTCTCTCTCTTTCTCCTTCTCTCCCTCCCGGGTCTCTCGCCTCCCTCCCCCCCCCCTCCCTCTTTCTCCTTCCTTCTCTCCCTCCCCCTCGCCACAGCTCGGAGCCAGGTCTGGAGCTGGGGGTGGGGTGGGGGTGGTTCGCGCAGGGGCCCAGGGCCGGGGTAGCGACCTGCTGGGGAGGCGGGGAGGCGCGGAGGGGCGGGGGAGGCCGGGGGGAAGGGCGGAGGTGGGGTGGGGGGCCCAGGGACGAGTCCGCGGACCCCGCTCGCATCCCGCTTCCCTCCTTCCCGGCCTCCCCGACCCTCCGGCGGGGGCGCGAGCCGGGCCAAGGTGGGGAGGAAGGGGAAGGGAGGAGGCGGCCCCCGCCCCCCGCCCCCCCCAACCTGGCCCGGAGCCCAGGCCCGGGCTCCCAGCATGCCCCGGGGCTGCCGGGGGCCTGGGGAGGGGGTGCGAGCCGAGGGAAGCCGAGCGTCCTCAGGGTTCGCGGGGCCGCAGCATCGCCCTGCGGCTTCGGCTCGTCTCTCCTGGGGAAACCGAGGCCCGCAGAGAGGGGAGGGCGGGGGGGTGGTCAGGACCCGCTCGAGGTCACCGCGCCGGGCGTCGGTGGAGACGCGGACTCCCGGGGCCCGCAGGCCCGACCCGGGGAAAGGGTTGGTGCGGGACTTCGCCCAGGTCTGGGCCCCCCTCCCCCTCCCCGCAGACCCTGGGGAGCCCCCAAGGGTCAGAGAGCAGACCCAAACAGTCTGGCACCATGGCAACCAGTGGCCCCGCCCCCTTAACCCCCAGAGGGCTGGACTCCAGCTGGGGCCAAAGAAGAGGTGGTGGGGACGCCTGGGTTCGCGGGAGGAAGGGTCTGGGGGCCCGAACTCTGGGGTTTCGTGGAGCATCGGGGGGCTGGAATGTGGACCCGCAGCCCCTCCCTCCCCGCCCAGGGCTGAGGGAAGAAGAGGCTGCAGGCCCAGACTCCAGGGTCTGGGGCTAAAAGAGGGGGGCTGGGGGTTCGGACGCTGGAATTCTGCGGGAGGGGTCGGGTCGCGGGCGCACCGGTCTGAGGGAGGAGGGGGCCAGGGCCTGGAATCCCGGTCCCCAAGGGAGTCTGGACGCTGGGCCTCTCCTGCGCCAGACATCCCCTGCCCCCGCCGCTGACCCTGGCCTGTCTGGCAGCCCAGACAACCTCCCCCTCCTCGGCAGCCCCCTCCCACTGGCACGGCTCACCCTTGACCCCTCAGAGCCCCGCAGCCCCTTCCCTGCCCCTCCCCCGCCCCTCCAGCCAGACGTTAACCCTTCCGCGGCCAGAGGCACCTCAAGAGCCAGCCTCTCCCTCGAGCTCCCCTGAGGGCGCAGGAGGGCATCCCTCCGAGTCTCCTCCGGCTCCGAGCCTCGCTAGCTACCCCAGCCCCGTCTCTCACCTCCCAGTGGAATCCAGGCGGTGCTCCTGGCCCGCTCCTCCTCCTGAACCCCGGAATCCAGGCCCCCCGATCCCCACCTCCAAGGATTCGGGACTCTGGGTCCCCAGCCCCCTCCTCCTCCTCCTCCAGGAACCCAGAAATCCAGGGACCCTGGATCCGGGCCCCGGGTCCCACGCCACTCCCTCTCGGGAGACTCACGGCTCCACCGCTCCCGCGTCGGGGGAAGGGTCTCGCCGGGCAGCACCCCGGGGCTGGGCCGAGCCGGGCCCCGCTGCTGCTGCCGCCGCCGCCGCCGCCGCCAGCTCTCCATCCTCTCCCCGCCTTCACCGCCCGACGGCCTCTCCCCTTCCTCCCGGCGTCCCCGCCATCCTCCTTGCCTCCTCCCCGACTCCCGCTGGCCTGGGCCTCCTCCCGGTTCTGCGGGCCCGGCTCCCCTGCCTGGGACCCCGCCGGACCAGCCCCCTACCCAGGGGGCCCCCGCCCCGGCCCCTCCCCACCGCCCGGCCCAGTCCGGCCTGGCTTCCACCACCACCACCACCGGCTCCCCCCCGCCCCGCCCCTGCCCCGGAGCTGGCCCCGGTCCAGGGGAAAAAATTCCATCCAGCCCCGGGGAGGAGGGAGAGGGGCGGGGGAGGGAGTGGGGCGGGGAGGCCGGGCCGGGGAGCGTGACGCAGGGAGGAGGGAAGGGACAAAAGGGGCCGGGAGGCGGCAGGGCGAGCCGGCGGCGCTCCCGCTCCTCCCTCCCTCCCTCCTCCCTGGGCCGGGGCCGGTTCTCTGCTTTCCGCTTTCTTTCGTCCCCTCCACCTCTCCTCCCTTTCCTTCACTCTGCCTGCCTCCTCCTAGCCCTGTGCTCCCCCCAACCCCCCGCCCCCGTGTCTCCGTCTCCGCGTCTCTCTTTCTCCTTAAATCACGCACACCGCCCCCCACCCCCATCAGGGTCTTCTCTCCCCCGTCTGTCTCCCCCTTTCTGCTCTCCCAGCCTCCTTCCCCTCCCTCCGCTTCGGTCTCTCCAGCCACCCACCCACTGAGGGACAGAAAGGTGAATCAGACCCAGATCTGCCCTTGCAGACGGAGCTCACAGTCTGATGGAGGAGACAGACCCAGACGCAGACAGTTCCAATCCTGGGCGATCGGGGTATGACGAAGGGAGGGACCAGCGGCTTGTGGGAGCTCCGGGGTAGGGGGCAGGAATCCTTTCAGCTGGAGACAGCCGAAAGGGCCTCCAGAGAAGGCGGTGGTTGTGACCTCCAAGAACTAGGAGAAGTTAGATCTGAATTGTGTGAGAGAGAGAGGCGGCCGTAAGGGCGTTGCAGGCGGAGGGCACGGCTGAAGCAGAGGCCCAAAGGAAACCAGGGGGTGATTCTGGGAGAAGGGCAGGCGGTCAAGTCTGATGGGAACTCCCGAGCCTGCAAGAGGAGGCTGAGGTGGTGGGCGGGGCCAGGTGCCCAGCGCTTGGCTGTCCGGGGGCGGGGGAACTTCCCCTTGTGGGTGTCTGGGAGCAAAGGGAGGGGCAGGGTCAGATTTGGGGTGTCAGAGCGATCCCTCTGGGGCCTGTGGGGGATGAGTTGGGGAGAAAAGACTGCGGGAGGCCGGTGAGGCGGTTGCTTGATCCGAGGCTGGGACCCTGGGGACCCAGAGGAGGGGGCGGGGCAGAGAATGTGAGGAGGGTGATGAGGATGGAAGGGGTGAGGAAGATGCAACAATCAGAAGCCTGGCCCTGAGACTGCGGGGGACAGGAGTTGTTCTGAATGGGGAACCAGAGGGAGAAGGGGGTGCAGAAGAGGGGAGGTGCTGTGTGCCGATTGGGACCTAGCGGACATTAGGGGCCAGAGGACATATTGAGGCAGTGGTGAGTGTAAAGTCCTGGGGTCCCAGCAGTGAAAAATACAGTCTCCTCCTGCCCTGTCCCTGGCCACCCACTCCTCTCTGGGGACAGCTCATGCTTACCAGTTTCTTTTGTATCTTTCCAGAAGAATTATATTCTTTGGTACTTGCATATGAAGAAGGCAATGGCAACCCACTCCAGTACTCTTGCCTGGAAAATCCCATGGACAGAGGAGCCTGGTAGGCTGCAGTCCATGGGGTCGCTAAGAGTCGGACATGACTGAGCAACTTCACTTTCACTTTTCACTTTCATGCATTGGGAAGGAAATGGCAACCCACTCCAGTGTTCTTGCCTGGAGAATCCCAGGGACGGGGGAGCCTGGTGGGCTGCCATCTATGGGGTCGCACAGAGTCAGATATGACTGAAGCGACTTAGCAGCAGCAGCAGTATTTGCGTATCAGGCTTCCCTTATGGCTTAGCTGGTAAAGAATTCCCCTGCAATGCGGGAGACCTGGGTTTGATCCCTGGGTTGGGAAGATCCCATGGAGAAGGGAACAGCTACCCACTCCAGTATTCTGGCCTCGAGAATTCCATGGACTGTATAGGCCATGGGGTTGCAAAGAGTTGGACACGACTGAGTGACTTTCACTTTCATGCATATATTATATTAACCGCCTCTATTTTGTCCCTACGTGGGATCATATTATTCTATGCTTTGCTTTTTTTTAAACACTATATCCTGATGATCTTCCTGTGTCAATGTAGCTTATAGAGGTACCTCATTCATTTTAGTGGCTCTATAGTATTCCATGGCTTCCCTGGTGGCTCAGTAGTGAAGAATCTGTCTGCCAATGTAGAAGATGTGGTTTGAGCCCTAGGTCAGGAAGATCACCTGGAGAAGGGAATGGCAACTCACTCCAGTATTCATGCCCGGGAAATCCCATGGACAGAGAAGCCTGGCAGGCTACAGTCCGCATGGTCGTGCAGAGCTGCATATGAGTTAGTGATTTAACAGCAGTAGTATTCCATTGTATAAATTTATTCATCCACGTGTGCATGCTAAGTCGCTTCGGTCATGTCTGACTCTTTGCGACCCCACGGACTGTAGTCCACCAGGCTCTTCTGTCCATGGGATTCTCCAGGCAAAAATACTGGAGTGGGTGGCATGGCCTCCTCCAGGGGATCTTCCTGATCCAGGGATCGAACTCTCATCTCTTATGTCTCTTTCATTGGCAGGTGGGTTCTTTACTAGTAGTGTCACTTGGGAAACCCTTATTCATCCATACTTGTTATCAACTAGGAGGGGTTTTTCACAGAAAGAAACTAATGCTTATGAATATGCAAATTGCTGTTATTTTTAAAACTGATTTCTTCCACTGCTCTGAAGCCTCTGGACCCAGCTATTTGATAAATACTTCTAGGTTCTTTAAATTTTGTCACTAATTACTAATGACAGGAATAATAACAAATGCCAGTCCTTTCTCAAATGTCTACTTAAGGACAGCCTCTGGGTTGAGTACTTGTTACACAGTATCTCAGTCAACTTTTTTGGGTTTTTTTGGCCACACCCTGCTACTTGTGGGATCTTAGTTCCCTCACCAGGGATCAAGTCCATGCCCCCTGCACTGGAAGCATGGAGTCTCAACCACTGGACCACCAGGGACTTCCCAGCAGCAGTCTTACTTTTAAGGATTGTTTTATGTCCATGTAAGGATGAGAGAACTGAGGTTCTGAACAGTGAGTTGCCCATGCTTACAAAGTGAATGGCAGAGCCAGGATTTGAACCCAGGCCTCTCTGGGTCCACGTTCTATGCTCTTTCTTTGGAGACGGGCTGCCTCTGTGAAAATGTCCAACTTGCTGGGGGTTGCTGTCCAGCAAGGTTAGACTTGTCATGCAGGTAGATTCACACTTGATTAAAGGATCTTTTGTCAGCCCCTGCACCTTACTTGGCATCCAGAATGACTGGCAGTCTATTCTCATCTTCAGATGCCCTGCGTTCATATCAGGACGAAAACCACAGCACCCTGCTGTCTTGTCCTTGCCCTGATTCCCTTGTTTGGTGATTCTCGCCATCTGGGTCTGTCTCAGAGTTCACTGAAGGTGCCATGGAGATCTGAGTCATCTCGGCGTCCTCAGTATCACTCAGCACAGGGTGTGGCTCAGAGGAAGGGCTCGGGGAAAACGTTTGCCAAATGAATGAATGGAGAGATGGGTGAATAACAAGTGGTTGATGGGTTAGGCTGAGACTTGCCTAAGTTCTGGGATAAAAGAATTTAATTCCCGTTAGTTCCTGAAGCATAAGGCCTCTGTTACCATTTGTTAGTGACTCATAGGAAGCACTGTTTCCATTGTTCTTTGATACACAGAGTTCATAACTCCCTTGACACCTAATACTGAACTATTGCCATTTCCACACATCTCTAAAACTCAAGATCCACCGTTCATTCCCATCAGCCCCTGAGACTCAGAACCCACCGTTCATTCCCATCAGCCCCTGGGACTCAGTGTCCACCACTCCCATCTATATTGACACACAGTACCACAGTTCTTGTCAGTCCTTGATACCCAATATCCATAATTTCTATCCCACTACAATACAGGGCGACCACCATTCCCATCAACTACTGAGATAGAAGTTCCACCTTTCCTATTATCCCTTTAGAAAGTGAAAGTGAAGTCTCTCAGTCGTGTCCGACTCTTTGCGACCCCGTAAACTGTAGCCTACCAGGCTCCTCCATCCATGGGATTCTCCAGGCAAGAGTACCGGAGTAGGTTGCCATTTCCTTCTCCAGGGGATCTTCCCAACCCAGGGATCGAACCCAGGTCTCCCACATTGTAGGCAGATGCCTTAACCTCTGAGCCACCAGGGAAGCCCATATCCCTTTAGAACAGCATGCCAGTGGAAAATACAAACTCCCTGCCCTTCACAAGGCTGTCTGCCATTCCCTGGAACAGAAACTGTGAGCCAGGAAGACACTTCAACCTGCCCTGAAGTAGGTCTGAATCAAGGACCCACTTATTAATGCTATAGAAACAGGGACACGAAGGTTATGAAGAAATTATGAAGAACTTCCAAGTAGCAGAGGATCCTTCCATGGGAGGAATCAACCCCAAACCTGACATAATCCTATAGCACCATCAGAGAATGCTTCCAAACCCAAGACAGTGCCCCACAGCACCACTTAATCCCCACAGGTGGGATAATCCTCAGACAGCAGATCACCCAAAATATTCATGCCAGGTGATCCAAATGCAACAGATGCTCCCATCATGCCATGGCTGCTGCTGCTGCTAAGTTGCTTCAGTCATGTCTGACTCTGTGTGACCCCATAGACGGCAGCCCACCAGGCTCTGCAAGAACACTGGAGTGGGTTGCCATTTCCTTCTCCAATGCATGAAAGTGAAAAGTGAAAGTGAAGTTGCTCAGTTGTGTCTGACTCCTAGCGATCCCATGGGCTGCAGCCTACCAGGCTCCTCTGTCCATGGGATCTTCTAGGCAAGAAGAGTACTGGAGTGGGGTGCCATTGCCTTCTCCGATCATGCCAGTAAGTAATCCCAAATGGCAGTTTACCCCAGTGGACTTTAGGAATTGGGAAGGGGCCACCTTTTCTGTGCATGTAGGCTGGTAGTGGGTGGGAAGAAGGTGACAAAAAATTTTCAATTTATTTTTTATTTTTGGCTGTACCGGGTCTTTGTTGCTGCATGAGGACTTTCTCCAGTTGTGGTGTGCAGGTCTCTTATTGCGGTGGCTTCTCTTATTGCAGAGCCTGGGTGTGTGAGCTCAGCAGTTGTGGCTCGCAGGTCCACTTGCCTCGTGGCACGTGGAATCTTCCTGGACCAAGGATCAAACCCGTGTCTCCTGCATTGGCAGGTGGATTCCCAAACACTGGACCACCAGGGAAGCCCCAGAAGATGACAGATCTTATTCCCACTATTAACTCTTTCCTGGGTGGAGGGTTGGTGTGGTTTTTAAAGGAGGGTCTCTCCACGGCCTATCTCTTTCCCTTACAGCCATGCCTTCTAGTCATCTGAACGGTGAAGGGCCTTCAACTAGTCCACTCTTCACATCTCAGCAAATGGGAGAGAAGATGGTTCTGAGCTTCATGGAGAGTGGAGTGGGAGTGGATACAGTTTTTTCAAGCCCATCAGTCATCCACTTCTCCTTCCTCTGGTGATAGAATCTTCCTTTCCCACGAGAAACCCATTCTAGGTGACTCTAACAAGAATGTTCTAATAAAATGCCCTTCCTCCTTCCCCCCTGGACAAGTGACCCAATATGGGCCAGTCAGAACATTCATTCATTCAGCTGTGATCCCCTAACAGAGATGACTAGAATCTAAGATTTTTTCATCTTTTAAAATATTTTTGAAAATTTTATTGAAATGTTGATTTGCAATTTGTTAGTTCAGGTGTATAGAGATTCAATTATATCTTTTCCCTTATAGGTTATTACAAAGTACTGAATACAATCCCTGTGCTATGTAGTAGATCTCTGTTGTTTGTTGTTTTAGACACAGTAGTGTGTATGTGTTAATTCCAACCCCCTAATTTATCCCTCCCCTTCCCCTTTGCTAATCACAAGTTCGTTTTCTGTCTGTGGTTCTATTTCTCCTTTGTAAATAAGTTCATTTGTATGACTTTTTTTAGAGTCCACATATAAGAGATATCATGTGATATTTGTCTTTCTCTGTCTGACTGACTTCACTTAGTATGATCATCTCTAGGTCCATCCATGTTGCTACAAATGGCAGCATGTCACCTTTTTTTTTTTTTAATGACTGAGTAGTATTCCACTGGGCTTCCCTGGTGACTTGGTGGTAAAGAATCTGCCCGCAATGCAGGAGAGCTGGGTTCGATCCCTGGCTTGGGAAGATCCCCTGGAGGAGCAAATGGCGACCCACTCCAGTATTCTTAACCTGGAGAATCCCATGGACTGACAAGCCTGGCAGGCTGCAGTCCATGGGGTCGCACAGACTCTGACATGACTGAAGCGCCTAAGCAGTAGCAGCAGCCGCAGTATTCCATTGTGTATATATACCACATCTTCTTTATCTGTTTATCTGTTGATGAACACTTAGATTGTTTCCACATGTTGGCCATTGTTAATAGTGAGGCAAAGTTTTACTATTAACATGATTATAGCTGCTCCTGAAGTGCCAGGAAAAGCAGCTAGACAGGAAATTGAAACAAGCAGTGTAAATGTGAGAAATGAAAAGACAAAAGCGTCATCATTTGCAGATGATAAGATCCCCTACTTAGAAAGCCCAAGAGAATTTATAGAAAAATAGAACTCATCATCAGGTTCTTTGAGTTGGCAAACTATAAGTTATACACACTAGTTAAGATCTGATGAGGAAGCAACAAGTAAAATTAGATCCCTGTCTCACATCACACACTGCCATTCCAGGTGGAACAAAAATAATTTTCCATTATTTTTTAATGGAAGAAACTGATTGAATTTGACAAATGAATTAATCTACTGCTAATGGGATTGATTTTGTTCTCCCTCCAGGGGACACTTGGCACAGGCTGGAGACATTTTTTTGGTCCCAGCTGAGTCAGGGAGGGGGATGCCACTGGCATCTAGTGAGGAGAGGACAGAGAAGCTGCAAAATATCCCACAGAACATCTTCCCTCTCCCCCGGAACAAGGATTGCCCCGTTCCAAATACCAGTAGTGTTAAAGTGGAAAGACTGTGATGTAACATGACACCTTAATGAGTTATCGGATTGCTTCTAATAGATTTCCAGTTACTTTTTGGATGTCCCAGGTATAGAATCATACTAACTGCAGATGATAAGGACACATCCTCCCAGTATTTATTCCTCTTATTTGGTTCTGTTTCGTAATTGCATTTAGCCAGCACTCTCAGAGGAGGATGAGATGGTTGGATGGCATCATTGACTTGATGGACATGAGTTTGAGTAAGCTTCAGGAGTTGGTGACGGACAGGGAAGCCTGGCACGCTGCAGTCCATGGGGCTGCAAAGAATCGGACACGACTGAGCAACTGAGCTGAGCACTCTCAGAACAATGTTTGCACCCAGGAACTGGACGGTACTTCTGTTTGGGAATGCCATCATTGGGTAAGATTCTACTTCCTACCACCAAGGACTTAAAGGCTAGATACTTGCTTTTCCTGAAACTGAGTGCCTAGTGTGCGGGTGTCTGCACTGAGACTCTATAAAGACCTCAGGAGGTTTCCCGAGTGGCTCAGTGGTAAAGAATCCACCTGCTTGGCTGTGCTTCTCCTCCCATTGTTTCCTTGGGTTTTGACCCATTTTCTAAACTTGGAAGTTTAGCTTTCTCATCCTCTCTGTCAGCTGCCCAGTGTCCTATGAATGAACCCCCTTTTTGCTTAAGTTAACCCGAATTGGTTTCCTTCACAACCAAGAATCCCACAGTGAGAATGTTAAATAGTAATTGTGATTGCTTGCTTAGTCACTCAGTCGTATCTGACTCTTTGTGACCCCATGGACTGTGCCCCGCCAGGCTCCTCTGTCCATGGGATTCTCCAGGCAAAAATCCTGGAGTGGGTTGACCTGCCCTCTTCCAGGGGATCTTCCCAACTCAAGGATCGGACTCAGGTCTCCCGCGTTACAGGCAGATTCTTTATCATCTGAGCCACCAGGGGAGCCCAAGAATACTGGAGTGGGTAACTTAACCCTTCTCCAGAGGATCTTCCTGACCCAGAAATGGAACCAGGGTTTCCTACATTGCAGGCAGATTCTTTACCAATTGAGCTACCAGGGAAGCCCATTCACTGTGATAGTGAGCTAATTGCCTAGTTTCTGACTTAGTTGGAAATAGTCTGTACACATTCATTAATCTATTTGTAAAACACACATTGAAATTCATGCATTCACTCCTTTATTTCTAGTTCCAACCCAATACCAGTTGGGTCATTCTGGTTTTCTGCCTTCCCAGAATATGTGTAAATCCCTTCTCTGAGAAAGGGAAACCAGTTCTCCATTATCCATCATGTGTTTACTTATTTGATTCGTCCCCCTCCCTTTTTTTAGCAGCCACACAACATGGCACACAGACCCTTACTCCCTGACCAGAGATTGAACCGAAGCCCCCCAGCATGGAAGCTCGGAGTTCTAACCACTGGACTGCCAGTAAATTCCCTGGGTTAGTTTCTCTTGAGTGTAACTTTTTCCCTGTCTCAACCACCATTCATTCCCAGTTTGGTGGTGGACACACAGGGCCTTCACCACTGGACCACAAGGGATGTCCCCAACTTTTCATTCTTTTTTAAAATTTATTTTGAATTGGAGGATAATTGCTTAAGAATGTTGTGTTGGTTTCTGCCATACAACAACGTGAATCAGCCATAAGTATACATATGTTCCCTCTAGGTTGAACCTCCCTCCCACCCCCACTCCAACTTTTCTTTTTCTGGTTTTATTTATTTATTTCAACTGAAGGATAATTGCTTTACAGAATTTTGTTGTTTTCTGCCAAATATTAACATGAATCAGCCATAGGTATACGTACGCCCCCTCCCTCTTGAACCTCCCTCCAACCCCACCCCAACTTTTAATTTCTATCTTTAGTTTACATTGAATCAGCATCGTCTGTTTGTGGACAGTTTGAAATAATTTGATATGATTCTGTCAGTTTATCGTATAGTTACTAATCTACTTAATCCCTGGAGAAGGAAATGGGCACCCACTCCAGTATTCCTGCCTGGATAATCCCATGGACAGAGGAGCCTGGCGGGCAACAGTCCACAGGGTTGCAAAGAGTCAGACACAACTGAGTGACTGAGCACCGTCTGTTTAATATGTTCATCTCTTCTTGAGAATATTTTTGAAATTTACATGGTCCTAAAAAATCATCCATTTACCCCCAACTTTCTACTTTTTAGCAATGAACTAAGCAAAGAATTCTCTGAGTAACTAGGTTTCTCCAGAGCTACCCGCTTCTCTCTTATCACTTTCATGCTTGGTTCTTCTGCGCACTGTGTGATTGTACAGACCTTGGAGTCTATGCCCCTGGTTTTCATTTTCTGTGTGCCAAGGACTGTATTTTATGCTCATAAGTACATTTCATTTTTAATTGTCATTATTTTTTTCCTGAGCATTTCTAGTTCTGTTTTGATCTTGTTGTCTTATCATTTTTTTTGTTGTTGTTGTTTAATCACTTAGTCATGTCTGACTCTTTGCAGCCCCATGCACTGTACCCCGCCAGGCTCCTCTGTCCATGGGATTTCCCAGGCAAGAATACTGGAGTGGGCTGCCTCATTGCTTGTATCTAAAAATAAAACTTTCTTTAATTTCCAGTAAGTGGGAAGCTGCAAAAGTCTACCATCTTTTGTTTGAAAAGGTTAATCAATTAAAATACTCTACAATTTTTTTCATGCTACATTCCTTTTATATTTTATTATTTGTAAAATATGGAGGGAGGGTGGGGGAGGGACGAATGGGGAGTTTGGGATTAGCAGATGCAAACTATTCAATATAGGATAGATGAATGACAATGTTGTACTGTATAGTACTGGGAACAATATTCAATATCCCATGATAAACCATAATGGAAACGAATAGGAAACATATATATAAATGTATATATATATATATATATATATATATATATATATATATCTGAGTCACTTTGCTGTACAATAGAAATTAACACAACATTGTAAATCAACTATACTTCAATAAAATAAGTTTCTGTAAAATTTTATTTTTCGAAAGCGTGTTGGACTTCCATGGTGGTCCAGTGGCTAAGACTCCGTGGTCCCAGTGCCAGGGGCTCAGGTTCAATCCCTGGTCAGGGAACTAGATCCCACATGCACAACTAAAGATCCCAAGCGCAGCAGCTAAGATCTGGAGCAGCCAAATAAATATATATATATATATTTTTAAATGTGTTGGAAGAAACTGGAGATCTTGGTCTCCTTGAATTTACCAGTCGAGCTTGCTGAGTGCACATCGTCCAGCAGGGGGCAGGCTTGGACTTTGTCTTCGTGCCTCACTGCGAGCAAATTCCCTCCTGAGAAAGGAAGTTAGAAAGTAAGCCTCTGGCTGGAGGGATTTTTGTTAGATGAGTTAGTGCATCTATTTTTCCAGGAGATGCAAAATTAAGTCCCCACGGTAGTAGAGCAGGTATAAAAATGACTGCAGGAGGCCTGGGGTAGGAAAGACAGCAGGGCAGGTGTACTGACC